AAAAGAATGACTAGAAGAAGCCTTGAAATGGGTAAAAAACACAGCTGTCGTATATAGAGGGCTGAATTTCTGTCAGTTATCTAATTAAAATAAGACTTGTGCTGCATCTCTAACTCAGAAACGTCAAAATAAAAGTAACCAACAAAATATTTTATACAAAAATCATCACATAACCTGATTGTCAAAAAATTCTACGTTTGTTGAACATTTATTAAATAACTATTAAAACTATGATGCATATTTCCATTGGATAGCGATGCAAGCACCGTTTCTTCTTTCCTCTTCGACAACAACACGTGATTTCTGCAGAAGTATTTATAAGTCACTTCCTGCCTCCTGCTGCTTTACCCTAATCCACCCCTCGCCTGAATGTACCTGCTGCTTTCTTCATATGCGAAAGGCAAACTCTGGTCTGAAAATGGCTATATCCTCTTTTGAAATGCTCAATGTTGCATGAGGATATTTGGTCTCTTTTCTCTAGACCACTATCGCTTCCTTCACCCAGATTAAACAAGTCAGTGATTTTTTTTGCCCAAGATCCTCTCCTGTATTTCATGTCAACTCTGCCATCCTGGGGTCATTTTAATCCTGCCCAGATTGACATGTAGTGTTTGGTGCAATTTTCAACTTGCACACCTAGCATCTGTATTACAAGGGCCATAAAAAACTGTGGCGGGGTAGATGGATTAGATTAGATGATTGACGATGCCCGTGGGGAAATTAGATTGCTGCAGCAGCAATAGTAATAGTAATGGGATTCAGCAGGAGGAGAGGACAAGCAGAATAAAAGCACATCAACAGAATAGAAAATAAGCGATGAAAAGAAGAATTTCTGCAGTTTTGCAAAGACTGGTGCAAAGACAAAAGTTCACCGGGCATTGAGGCCTTTTGGCGGTTCTGTGGGTGTCGGAGATTGGGTGGCATGGCAGGAGAAAAACTGAACCCCGAATTGCCTCTGTGCCGACAGTGTATGAATGATGCGTGAAAGAAAAAGTGCAGCATATAAGAAATGTGACTTGAATGCAACTTGTATTGTAATATCCCTCTAGATAAGTGTGGATGCTGTATAAAGCTTCGTTAAGGGCCCTATCTTACATCCTTTCTCGTGCTCATGTTGTTCAACTATCAAATACACTTGTGCCCACTTGAGCTTGCATTCTGTGTTGGTCTTAAATTAAGGTACGGTCAGCATTGCTCTCTTGAGGTAGCAGAAAGCAATTACGCAATTGACAAACAAGAAACCTCTTATTTCAGCGGTGCAGTGTTTCACTGTTATTTTAAGGATGCATTATCAAGATAGAGGATAACACGCCTGAACACTCAGAGATACACAGATGCTTGTGCTTTCACATTGCAGGCAGCCATGCAAATTCTCCCCCATGCTGTACACGTGAATCGGCTCTCTTCATCAAGCTCTTTGGTTATGTAAAATCCTCCATTCCCTCACAGCCCCATGTATTGCATCTCCACAGGTACCTCAGTAAAGATGAAGTAGCCCAGGCCTCCCTGAACAAGGTCCAGCAGGAGGGAGGCAGCGTCCGACTGGTCATAAAGGAAAACTTCTCCACAAAGAAGAGCTCTGCCTCTTCACTCACGCCACCTTCCTCAGAGAGGTAGGACAGAGGGGCAAACATGTGGGTGGATGTTCAGGGCAGGAAAAGGGGGCGAGCTGTGTTCACATCTTTGAAAGACTTACACAACTGATGAGAATAAAATCTAAACTCACCTCTAGCCCACACATTTCCTATATATTCTGTTCAAACAACGGTTCATAAATCATGCTGTGTTTGTTGAGGTTTTTAAAGATGAGGTTTCATGGTCTGCACATGAAGGTTGTTTGTCTCATCGTGCAGATTTCTCTTTGGAAATCTGTGTATTCTCATTTTCCTTCCCTCAGCTGTCTCCATGGAGATCTGTTTGCCTTGTGGGAGAGGCACAAAGGCCCAGTGAGTGTGTTAGTACAGTAAATATAGACCATAATACAATCTACTGGGAGAGATGCAATGGCCAGCTCACCCCAGGAGGGGATATCTCTATGGAAACCTGCAACACACGCATACACACATGTACACACCACCTGGTGTTACATACAGAATTGTCTTTGTGCATCATGCACCTTTGTACTGGTAACGTAAAAATGATAAATGCCTCTCCCCAAATATAAAACAAAGTCTCAGCGTTAGATGGAGGTAGCACTGAAATATTCACAGTAACACAATCATATCTCCTGAAATCTCCAACTTTTCCTTTAAAACCTTGGATTTATGTGATGCTGATTCAAGGATTTAAATCAATTAATCCTTTTTGCAATTCTTTACTTTGGGAAATATGACTTGATTATTCTGTAAAACAGACTCTGCCCCCTGATCAACAGCGAGCCAGCGCTCCAGCGATTGACAGGTGGAATAGCAGCATCGGATCTTTTCCCCCTCTGGTGCCTATGGTTTCCTTTGGTATGGAGCATCAGAGAGGAGCCGCGGTGGTAAACATTAACAGGCTGCGTGCTGCTGAAGGCATGTTGCATGATTTCTGGAGTTTGAAGTTCGAGTTTTCAGAGAGTTACCTCATGCTGCGACGTCGAGCAGCCAACACGCTCACTGGCTTTGTGCATACGTTCATTTAAATGACTTTGAAGCTACATGCAAAGTACATATATTAATCCAATGTAATAAATATACATTCTTGAATATGTTTTGATTTCTCTGCCTTAATTGTCGTTTTCACAGTCACCACCTAACCAAGTATTTCTGGGTTAGATTTTCTCTCCTGACCACCATGCTTCCACCATCCTCAGTATGGGCACACCAGTAAAAAGTCTATTTCTGTCTCTCTTTCATCCACTAGACGTTGCTGGCACAGCATTTGTCTCTTGGTACTTTTCAATTTTTGGTATCTTCTCAACTTTGAAGCAGCAAGGTTCCTTTTTTAGAGGGTTTTCTTCTCCATTTCAATGATTAAATCTCCCTCTGTAGCGCTCTGGCTCTTTGTTCCCATCTCTGTCTCTCTGAATTGTAAACCATGGGGAAAGAGAATTTAGTCCATCTGTCCCCTCCAACGTGGCTATAGCACCCTGCTGCGACGACATGGCAAATGCCCAGAACTGCTTTCCTCTGCCAAAAGGATGGGCATGCACATACACATACTTGAACTGTTCTGAATCCCCATCACACACACATACACACACACACACACACACACACACACACACACACACACACACACACACACANCACACACACACACACACACACACACACACACACACACACACACAGCCAGCCATATGTCTCTCAACTCTCTCTTGTGTTTGCTCCTCTGCTGATGTTGAAAAAACTGAGCTTTGCATTGAGCCTGGATGTTTGCATGTGTGGTCTTTGTCACACAAGTCAAGGTAACTTCTCTTTGAAATGTAAAAATAATCATACTATATATGTACAGTACATAATACAAAAAGGTAGCATACATCAATTTATGCTCTCACTGCCAAAGCTCTCCAATCTGGCACCTTGAAATTAAATTATAGTCAGAGCTTTCATAGAGGGAGTAAATGTATTTAGCTGCTCCTACACCCTATCTTCGGTCAATCAGTGGATCTACATAGTGTATTCTGTCATATTCCCTGTCAGTTAATTGCATTTACCCAGTGTCAGACTCCTTGACCCAAAATCATCAATTCTCTAGTAGCCATTTTCTGTAGATGTTGTTTGCTGTAAATGCAAGTCCTCTCATTCTGCTGTGTTTACATCACTACTGCTCTCTACTCTGATGCAAAGAGTAACTCCAGCATTTTGACATCTAAAAAATATCCAGTAACACCGGATCCTACATTTCCCATCATGCAACTAATTAGTAAACTGGTCTTTTAAACACGCATCTCATTGGTCTGAAGTTAAGGTCAAAGGTACACAACCTTTTTGTTCTAATGTCTGAATGTAATCAGTTTCTGTCCCTCCAGGAAGGACGAGGAGTCCGGTGAGGCTGCGGAGGAGCCGTCATCATCACACTCTGCTTATCTGCAGGCTGTGGATAGTGAAGGTGTCCCTCTGTGTCTGTCCTGCCAGCAGGCCTGCTCTAACTCCGGTGGGGCCTGGGACACTCGATTCTGTAGCCACAGGTACAGTGACACTTAGTGCACACGGCTCAGAGATAAATTAGACGCTTCTGGGTCTTTTTTTTTCCTGAGTGTAATGTTTTCACAAAAAGGTTTAAGGAAGTATGGCACCAACGATTCTTGTAAATCTCAGCATTCCCTGCTTGGAGCTCCAGGACAATTTGGTCCTTGTTAGGATGTTGATCAGAGAAGAGCATTTTAAATTAAATTTCTTAAACTTTCCTCTACTCGGCAAAGCCCACCCATCTGGCACCTGGAAATTCAATTATAGTCAGAAAGACGAAAATGCATGAAATCAAACTGAAAAACACGACATGCACGACGTTGACTTCACCTTGGTTTGCTTTAAAGCAACAGTGTTTGCTGAGGACTTAGGAACATTGCTGTTAGTAGATCAGACTGCAATTCTTATAGTTATTTTGGTCCGCTGGTCTAATCCTTTCTTATCATAGTTGTTTCAAGATTCTAACTTCATAGTCACATCACCATCATTATTATTACAGTAGTATAATATTGTAAAGTGGAGGAATGCTGCAATGTCTTTCCGTTCTTGAGCAACACACCATAATTTCCTGCTCCCTCTGAATAAGATCTGCTAAATTCTTTTAACTGATAAAATGTGTTGCGTCTGTACCTCCTCTAGTCTTGCTGCCTATTTAAGTTAGAAATTCAATTTCCTCAAGTGATTCTCAAGAGCCAAATTCAGGTCACTCAGTCAAGGTGAGACACTTCACTCCCCTGTGCCTGGATCTTATCAGAAATTAACACAGTTATCTCTGCGCTTCTAAGAAAAAGATGACAGCTTTCCTGTGTTTATGAAAATCGAAGAGGAATTTCAGCTGTTAATATTTTAAACGTGAAAGTTTGGTGATTCAAATCCAGATGTTTCCATGTTCGCCCAGATGCCAGGAGGAGTTCCAGTTGCGCTCCAGCCAAACATACATGCGCTTGCGGGTGCTGGAGGTGGAACAGGGAGTCTGTCAGCTGTGCGGCCTCCACGCCCACGACCTTTTCCTGAAGGTCCGTGATGCTCCGCCCTCCCAGCGCAAGGAGATGCTGGAGAACACTTCGCTCACCCAGCTGTCACTCAAACAGGTCGGAAACCAGAGTTTCTTACAAAATAATATAGCAGATAAATTAGATTTGTATATTTCTGTTGACACATGTAGGCCATAAGCAAGATAAAACATAGGATTTGAATTCAAAATAACCAAACTGAAATAGCTAAATGAAAATAACTAATCCAATAAAAGTGAGTATTACTCACACTAGGGCTGATGGGAAATGGTGTTTCTTAAAAGCTGCTAAACAACCGTGTTTTCCCTTTATTATTTTCTGTCATCAATGTTTAAGACTTAATTTAAAAAGCCATGCAATAAACTTGTAGTTTTTCCCTTAAAATCTCTTAGGTCATTTGAATTTGAACATTGTTGGAGGGATAAAGATTTTAAATGATCCACATCTCACATCTCTCTCATTAAACATCTCATGACCCCTCAGATTTACCCTGAGACTCTGAAGAGGTCCTCACCCACAGGTTGATAACCACAGGACTGAACCACCTAACCATGCAAAGTAGTTAAAAATAGCTTGACCATCTACAACAGTGTAGTTCTCCTCTCACATTGTTGCATCGGTATTGAAAGATAATAATGATTGTGTAACCACTTTATTGGATCTTGAATAACAGCCGTCTCGTGATGTGAGCGAAATAACTTACAAGGAAAGACATATTTTGTCTTTGTGTTTGTGTAAGTGCAAAAAAAGTGCCTTCTACTCTTCAACCCACCCACGCACACATATACACACACATAACACACACACGTTGATCTGCACTCCAAGGGGCCAGCTCCCAGTAAATGGATTGCTGGGCCCATTGATTTTTTTTCTCCCAGTGCCAGGCCTCGACCAGTAAGCCTGTTTGATTTGGTTGGCTGTTATCCTGCAAAGCCACCCCCCTCCCCACACACACACACACACACATTCTCTTTTCCATTGCCGGCGGCAGCAGCATCAGCACCAATCGATGCACCGAGCTTTAGAGGAAACAAACTCAGCCACATGATAAGATGCCGCAGCAGTGGAGAAGCCTCAAGATTATAGGCTCATTCTTTGGTTCAAACCAGGGGTTTTGGTGTGTGTGTGTGTGTGTGTGTGTGTGTGTGTGTGTGTGTGTGTGTGTGTGTNGTGTGTGTGTGTGTGTGTGTGTGTGTGTGTGTGTGTGTTACGGCCCTTACATGCCCATAAGCATAATTCTGGGGAACGTCTGTTGTTGTGGAGAAGCAAGGTGCTTGGTTTTGGCAAAAAAGCAGGTTCATTTGACTGAAATGTGTGTGTTTTGTGTGTACACACACGTGACCTCTGCCCCTGCGAGCACGCCTGGTCTTTAAGTCTACTGGGATCAATTCCAGCTCACTGCCTTAATGTCTGCAGAGTAGCACTCAAAGCAGGAAAATGGATTTTCGACCCTGAACTCTTCCCATCAGGCTTCTTTGTCTCTGTTTCTAATTCTCTGTCATCCTCACCTCCTCTACATGTGTGTGTTCTCTCTTTTAGTCTGCATCCATGTTTCTTTTTCTTTTTATAGATCTTTAAAATCAAAGATATAGGTGTTTATTTTGTCCAGTCTGGGCTACTGTAAAAAACATGGCAGCCTCCATAGAGAGGACCCACTCCTGACATAAAGTATTAAAATATAAAGGGTCCATTTGAGGGGGGGGGGGGAAACAACAATTCGTACAATTTAGATTAAACACAATTAAAACATCACTAGAATTATTTTATATTCATTTTCTGCCATTAGATCCCTGTCACCAAAATCTTACACACTGAACCTTTAAAGCTTCAAAATCCAACTCTTTTCATTTCATTCAGCTATGTGAGTTGAGAAAAGTCTTAGTTTTCTCTGGATTACTCCAAAAAGTCAGTATAGAAAGTTGAGTAATTTCGGAATGTGTGTATCCTATTGTAGCATGTTATTCCCTGTGGTTTATTTAACCCAATTTCTGTCTTTTGCCTGATCGGCTGATTTAAGTTTCCCTACAGCCGCTCGTTATGTAGGCCAAAACATTTTTTGGGGGATTTATGTGCCTGTACCTTAGGCATCTGTTGGTGATGGATAATTGAAAGTCAAAGTTCACTGTCATTGATTTGGTGCAATTATTGTTTTCATCAAGCGGTCTTATCCTCAAAATCTCACAGGCTTACATTAATCTCAGCACTTAAACCTTTGTCAGGGGCCGTCGTCTGCTTGTTGTTTTCATCACTTCCTGTCGTGGATTTGTGTTTTCCAGGAAATCAAATTCGATCAAAAGTAAAGTTTATCATAGATGGATGATTTTGGCAATTTGTGATCTGAGGGCGGACAGTGCACCGAGACGCTCACCGCTTCCTTCTGTGTGTGTTTCCAGCTGAATGAAATGATCCGCGCCCCGGTCGAAGGGAATTTCTGGCAGGTCGACCACATCCGGCCAGTCTACAGCGGAGGAGGACAGTGCTCGCTGGACAACCTGCAGACGCTGTGCACCGTCTGCCACAAAGCTGTACGTGCACACTCTGCATCGCTGCACCCACACCAGCCGCAACACCCGATCCCACAGCCAAAGGTCTTAAAGGGGCAAAAGCAATTTATCTAACATTTAAGGTGCACAGTGCATGGACCTCTCCTTTATCCACGTTTAAGTGTCATCACTCATGTTGAGGATCATGTGCGATGGCAGTAATGTGATACATGGTCAAACACATTGATCAAAAGTTACAACATCCCTCTCAAAGCTATATTTTCTTTTTAATAACATCACATGATGTGGTTGTGTGACATATTGATATATTGCATTTGTGGCAATGTGCTATATAACTGTCTCGGGAACATTTTCCTTTTTCAGCTCCTCCAGTCGATATTTCATAATCACAGACAATTCACTTCAGAAAAAAAGAACTGATTTGAGAGCAGAGGTTTCAAAATATAGCGCGGCTTTCATTGTAACCTTAAATGTGCTTAACTTCCACGCTAGAAAGCATTTTTGTCAGAGTGGGTGTCAGTTTGTAAGGAGATGCTTTATTCGCTGACGTTTATAAAGTGATGTGGAGAACTGTGCGTTCTGATAAGGGGATCCTCTCGCTGTTTATGCCACCGCTCAGACACTTTAATCTAGAGATGCTCAATATATTGATCTCACTTTTCTCTCCTGCGCCGACTGCAGATTTAACCTCTTACATCATGTTCCATTTTTCTCCACAGAGGACGGCTCAGCAAGCCAAAGAGCGCAGCAGGATAAGGAAGAGCGCGGCAGCCTCCAAGGTTGCATCAGACATCAGTAGGTTCTTCATCAGGAAATGGAATGACATGAAGGTTTAGAGAGGGTTGTATATGTGTAAAATTCCCGCCGACATGATTTCTGACAGTTTGGATGAAGATGCATCATGGTTCTTCAAAGACAAAACTCAGCAAAGTATCAGAAATGCCAGGAAAAGGTCAGATGCTCTCTAAATCCCTCCTTTGCTTCTGCCACACTTTACCATGATATCACCGCGTTTCTGTTGGACTCTGCTCCAGCGGCTGCTGTAGCAATGAAGATTTTTGTTTTTTTTAAACGTCGACAACAACTTTATGCAAATTCAGCGTACTCTGCTCTCGTCCCCGAACTGTCAAGCACGGTAGTTTTGATTTATGATGGCCCCTTTTGCACGAGGCTGAAATGGAGCAGGTTGTTTAGAAAGATGCTGCTATTATGATTTCGCAAACTTGGTGAAAGGTAGCCAGTGAGAGATGAATTGGGGGCTTTGTGATTAAAACACGAGCGAGCGTCCTCATTGGCAACAAGTGGCACCTTGTAAATCTTTTGGAAGACAGGTGAACACTCCCGAGTGAAATAAAAACCTATTTTCCTCTTGTTCCATGTTGTCTCCTTCTGTTCTTCAGGAGCTTTAACCAAAGCTCGGACTGTAAATACACCAAGACGTTGGTTGCTCTGACAAGCTAGCAAATTGTTTCATCGCCTCAAGTCAGGAACATTATTGTCCATGTCCATGCATCTACCTCCTCTTCAGCTGTGCTTGATGATCTGAGCAGAGCTAAAGTCAGTCAAGAGGGCTATGTTTAGAGAGACGGAGAGCAGAGTTACTATGGAAACAAGGCTTCAGGTTCAGCACTGTCGGGAATATTGAATCTGTTCTTGGGAGAGTTATACAATGAGCCAGACAGACATCAGAAACTCCAATCAATATCAGCAGGCTCCTGCGAAAATGAGGCCATCACATTCCTCCGCAGCAAAAATTGACTTCCCCTCTCTGCGTTGAGACTCCGTCATCGATGTCGCAGATGTTGTCATGTCACGATTTGTCTGTCTTGCCTGCCGTGTCAAAAGGCGAACTCAGCAAAACTCGCCGTTGCGGAAGAGTTAAAAAAAATAATTCTGGCAGATCCAACTCCTCTCAGCCTATCAGAGCGCTGGCTTGAAACCACAGCTTCAAACTTTCTCTGAGCCCGTGTGGGTGCACGTGTGGGTGTATGTGTGGGTGTATGTGTATTTCCCCTACGGCTGCTCCAGGTCTCCACTTAATAAGACCGTTGTTCCTCTCCTGTCCAAACCGACAAGCTTTTTGAGTAATGAACATCTCCCAGGCAGCCTTCCAACAACAGCAGGTTTCAGTGTCAGTCCCTGTCAGCAGCCAATGACTCTGATCGGCTGTTTTATTACACCCAAAAGGTGTGTGTGCATGTGCGGGAGACAGAAAGTGAGCGGAGAAGGAAAGTCAAGAGAAAGTGTAGCCGAGTGTGTTTCCGTGCATTACACAAATAAAGCGTGTGTGTTTGACTGAAGAAAAGAGTATTGAAAGAGGGAGCGTTTGTCAGATGCAGCCATAATGAGGCAGGGTCCAGATGAAGACGTCTCATGTTCTTCCCAGAGGGTCTGCTGGGTAAAGGGCCGCTCCACAGCCGCGCGGCACTGTTTTCATTGGACAACCTATCAGCCCAGACGAAAAAACATTACCTCCGCAGGTGATGACAGTAATAAAGATGGACTCAAACACCGACGGACGGTTGCAGAGGTCTGCGTGTTTGCCCTCCGTCTAATGCGCCCCCTCCCGTTTTAAAGTCAGCATCAGAGCGGAAACCAACTCACTTTTTCCATCAAGTGCAATCAACGTCTTTGCCTCTGTGCCACTGCGGCAGAGACATTTCGACAGGTTACATAGCAACACAGCATGCAGTGAGCGTCATGAGGCCAGAATTAGCTGGGCAAATATGTAGCGGAAATAATAGCATATAGTTAGAAAATCACAGAGTAGGCACAGAAGAAAAAAGAAAGGAGGAAATACAAAAGAAGGTCCAAGCAAATAGAATTCAGAAAAACACCACAGCAGTGAAGACAAATGAATACGACAGGAATTGTTCTGAAAGACTCCAGTCCTGTGAACCCTGGAGACGGTACATAATTTGTTAGTATTTATATAAAATATATTGCACCGATATTTTTATATCTCCATCGATTGAGATTGAGGTTTGGTCCGTTTTTTTATTTTAGATCCCTCTCATAACTTGACACCCTCCACACTAGTGTTGCTTCATTTTATCTCAAATGTCTAAAAAAGAAGAAAAAACTTGAAGAGCGATGCAATACCTCGAGATGCCAACATCAGTTACACCCCATGTTTCTCAATGTGGGTCAGAGGACCTCGTGGGGCCTTGTCGGGGCTCATGGGGGTCCACAGCAAATTGAGAAATAGATTAATATTGCAATAACTCAATTCCAATTCCAATTAAAGATTTTATATTATGTGGAAGTATGATTATTGTCATTGTAGGTTTCATTTTCAGTGTTTTGAAATAGGTTGAGCTGACAAAATGTGTCTTTTTAGGTGTCTGTGACATGAAAATGTGCAAAAGTGCTGCTCCAACCAGACAACAATTGACAGTATACTATACAAATCATTCATAACTCAATCATGATTTGCATTCAGATGGCACTGTGTTATATTTTGGCGCCATTCCAGTGGTTATTCCATTTCAACCTCGCCTGCCCCCATAATCTACTTTGGCCTTTTCAGCTGAAGGAAGCGCTTCTACAAACCCAATCTTGTGTGACAGGTGTGATGGAGAAGGGCCAATAAAAGCCTGTGCAGCGCGCCGCATGCGGCCGTCGGCTCTCCACTCGGTGGCTGAATCCTGCTGTGGTTTGATTCCTGGCTGCCACACTCTCCGCTGTGTTCCCTCTGTGTCGGTGACCCTCCCTGCCCTTCAGCAAGGAAGAGGAAATAGACACGAGGGAGGCCATACCCTCCCCACTCTCCTTCAGGCATGAAAAACGGGAACGGCACCGTCTCTATCTTGCCGAAGCACCTCTGATATTCTATCATTTGATGGAATGTGAACTACAAAACCTCATTATAGGAAAGGACCTGACCTCCCGTCAGACCTCTGCCGTGTAGTGTCACAACATCAAGAAGGCTTGTATTCTAAAAGGCTGGATCCATATCGTCTAATTGAACTGTGGAGTTAACATTTAGGAAGCAACTCTTGGCTTTAAACAGCCACAGTTGATGAGAGGCTTTTGTCTTTATTGTCATTTTATCTCTTGGGATGCTGATGAGATGATTAATCATTTCCTGCTGCAGCCTCACGCTTGCACGAGGCTGGCACCGCTCGAGCCGCAGAGCGCAACGCCTTAGGTGGAGGAAAATGGTATTATGGCCCAGGTAATTGGTGGAGGACCATCACTCATAAGCGATCTAATTAATCTCATTAAAACACCCTCTCTGGTTGATCTTTCTCGAGGAGTGCGGCAACAAAAGGCATTTAAACGATATCCCAAGAGAAACAGCAGCTGAGGCACGTAACACAGAAATCGATGCAGTTCCATACAAACTGTGGCTGGCTATTTTCTAATGTCATTCACAGTAGTCGGGGACGTGCGGTGGTAAAAGGATGCTTTCTCATGGCTCAGCTGGGGCTGGCTTTTGTCAAGTCCAAATTCTATTTATTCAAGATGGCTCCCCGGTTGTCTCCCAGGATGCGTGGCATGCTGCGGATTAAGACCAAAAACGCAATCAATTCACCCAGCAGGAGATCAGGAGAAATAACAGATAACGTTCTTAGCATAATTCTTACAGTCCCCAATCTGGGCTAGGATTAATGTATGTCTTCGCTGCAGCTCACGCTCATTTGTATGTAGGAGCTCGTGTGGGGCTAAATTGGCACTTCATGTGGCCCATTACAATCAGGCTTTGTTTGGAAAGGCCCCTGTGAGGGCTGGATCTGACCACATCGTTTTACAAGGCATGTGTACCTAATGCAATTAAGGACTGATGTGATCTCATCTGCATTTTATTATCATTAAGATCTTCTATTGCGTTTTACAACAGGCTGTGTCAGCATGTTAATCTGTGCAGAAATAAAGGAGTGGAGAGACTTTAATGAGACAGACATAAAAACACAAATGTTTGCAGCGTTAACCAAACATACATTAGATATATATATATATATTGATGCAGTCATGTGCAGCATGCCTCGCAGCACTTGACTTCAGAGGATAAAAAAGCCACAGTAGGCTACAGTCTTACTATTGTCCCCTTTCATTTACTCGGTGTTCAGATGATTGAGGTTAAAAATGGGAAGCCGAACAAGACGCCCTCCGACAACGTCTCCTTTCATGAGCTTTAAAAGACATCTTTTCATCTCCTTTCTCATTTTGTGGCCATTGATCAGCCATCTTTCATAGATTGCTTCCAGACATCTATTCAGCTGCTCCGTCGCTGCGCAGCATGCCTCCGTTTCATAGGTCCTAATGGCAAGGTCTGGCTTTTGTGCTTGGATTAAGACCAGACTCACAATCACATTAATCACCAATAAATTCACAGGAAATTGTTGACTTTGTTGAAAAAGTGAATCAACAGTTCGGAAAGTTTCGCAGCGTGTGCTTGATGCAAAAGCAGGCAGGGTTTTTTTAAATGTGGGGGGTAAAAACAGCGGTTCTCTTGCCTCATCCTGAAAAATTAGGATTTTTTTTATCCCCCTTCAGCACAGGAGCCAGAAAAAGGTCATGTCAGTCTTGTGACAGGAGTGACAGGTCTAGGGCATCATTACTGTGACTTGGAAGGTCTGTGTAAGCACCTTTGGTCACCTCAGGAGAATAGAACCCCACCACGCTGCCGCCGGCCTAATGAGCACGGTCAGCCCTGCATCTAATGAGGAGAGGGAGATTGCGACAGTCTTCCATCAGCTCTCTGCTCCTGCGGTACAACATCCCATAATGCCTTGAACACACGGCGTGAGCGGTGTGAGCAGCGGCGGATATCCTGTCACACATCAATGGCAGCGGCTCCGAGGAATCTGCCAAAATGTCTCCAGCGCAGGTCCAGAGCTGGATGAGAAAAATGTGGCCGTGTTCCTTTTAGGTTGACTTGATGTTTATCCACATTTCTGCACAGTCAACGAGATCATGTGACAGCTCGTCTGCAAAATGGAGGCACTTTTCAGTGATTGCAGGAAAATAACCGCAGCCTTGCCTCGATGTGAGCGCTTCTTTTCAGTTGGCAAGACATGTTTGGATTACATCTACGGAAGAAGTTCCCAGTCAAACAATTCTTTCAACTCTAAGAAATCTCCCCACTCCTGATGACTCACTTTTGGTTGTGTTCTCCGGCTCTTTGAATTTCATATTAGAGTGCGTGTGTAGTGCTTTTTAAATGCCGGAAGGGACTTGCACCCATCTCCTCACACATGCTGCAAATCCTCCTGCATCTAAAAACAGAGCTACAGGTTTGCTGCAGAATTAGCTCTTATATCCACCTTTGAAAGGTTATGTGTTCATGAGGGTGTTAAAACTGTGTGAGCGTCTTTCAGCGAGTATCAGTGGACAGATTGGCTTTGGACTCGGCAACAATTGATTCGCTTC